TACTACTACTACTACTACTACTACTACTACTACTACTACTACTACTGCAAACTTACCGGGCCTTCTTTGGTTTTCAGGGTACCACTGAGCAGCAACGTTGTTTGTCGTTTGATTATTTCGCTATGCTGTCGAGGGAGAGCGATACAAGAACCATCCGTAAATCTCACATACGAATAAACTTGACCATTTAAAGAGACGAGCACTCCTACATCTAGCACAAAAACATAATATTCTGGTAGGCTACAGAAAAGATGTGTATATCTGCCTAAACTCCGAGCATGGAATGGAGGTAAATTTGGTAATATATGGAATTCCAAGGAAGCCACTAACCACTATGCTGTGGAAACTTTTAGATAATATTTGGGCCAATTTTATAAAGAGCTTATGGTAAGTCAATATAAGGTGGTGATCCAAGTAATTGAAATATGAAAACGTAGAAAAATAGATAATTTTTATTCATTGTAGCCATGTATGGCACAAAATACTTATTTATCTAAATCAAACAACTCGCTTCTCAGCACGAACATATAAATGAATGACTGGCAATGCACTTCTGTCTGCCAGAGATCAAGGAAAAATCCACACCAAATAAGTACCAAGGAGTGATTGATTAATTTAGCGTTCGACTGATCGGCAAGGTAAAAAAACACGAAAATTTCGCTTATTCTCTCCTTTTTGAGGAGGGACGACGGTGTTCAAGCTATCCGGAAGTCCGTGAAGTCGAACTCTGCCAACAATTGCCCAACTCTTCCACCTCTTGTTTGGCCACTTTCAATCGGCCATTTGTGAATACAGATTTTACCTCTGGTATCAACCGGACAGAAGTAATAATAAATGTTTTCATGAACAACCTAGATGACTGTATAAGTTGTGTTATAGTTTTGAAGTTCTTTCATCACAGAGCAACGAAACCTGAATTTTCAAATTTAAATTAGTGTACATTGGCTAACTAGTCAGGAAGTGCTCGAAATGATGTGGAACGATTGTAGCTCAGGATGTGGATGTCGTTGGTGGTGTGCTCTCCGCGCTGGAAGTGTTGCTGGTAGACGTTTCGTAGCCATGCTAGGCAACTTCCCCGAAGTTGCACCGATGATGTTGCCTAGCCTGGCTACGAAACGTCTGCAAACAACAATTCCAGCTCAAAGAACACACCAACACCAACAGCCACGAAGTGGATCCATAGGTTAAACAGATTGCAAAAAAAAATTATCGTGACAAAGTAAGGTCACCGTAAAATAGTGTCGCAGTGTATTTTATGCTATAATGAACGGTTGTGAGAGCAACACCAACTGAGAGCGGTTAAATTACAGAGAGCGAACTAAGCTAGCAGTGCACGTTGTACACTGGTGGCTTAAAAGTAACGAGAAAATTTCGGAAATAGGAAAGAATCGATGAAAAAAACGAGCAGGGATATTGTTGACTACGTGGAAGTTGTTACATAGAATAGATCCGTTTTCAAAGTGTAATGACCTACCAAGAGGGAAGAAGATAACTGTATTCTGCGGAGATGGAATCGGCACATGACTTCACCGGCACGATTGTCCAGTTCACGAGTAATGCAAGCAAAACTATCGCGAATGCAAGTAAGGATTGCCCTATCTGGATCGTTTTCGGGAGTCTAGAGAATGAAGTATGATTGAAAGATTTTCATAAAAATCACGGAGCCATGCATACACGTGTTTTAGTCTAAAAAACCTAAGTGTTCATGTTTCAAGAATGACTATGATGTTTGTCTGATAGTTTTGTGTACAGCATGAGTTCGAAATTCCCAAGATTTAGTTTGCCCCTTGGATTGAGCGGTGTTGTGAAAGAAAAATGCTTTTGGTGAAAAATGATACGTTCCGGTAGCAAAAAGAGCTCGAAATTTATCTAGCTTTTTCCAGGCCATCACACACATTATATATATATATATAATATACATATATATATATATATATATATATATAT